GCCCGTGCGGGCTGTGTGCGGGAGCTGGAGGTGTGCACGGCGGGGGGCCGGGAGAGCCTCTGTCCGGGGGGTCACCAGCTGCCCACGCTGGGATGTGCCCAGGGGCCCGTGTCTGGTACCCTCCCGGGCAGTCGTGCGAGAGACTTTGGGGCCAGGAGGGGCTGAGAGCGTGGGCTGCCTGCCGCTGCTCTGTCCCGCTCACCCGCTCTCGTCCCCGCAGCGATGGCGGCCATCAGGAAGAAGCTGGTGATCGTGGGAGACGGTGCCTGCGGAAAGACGTGTCTGCTGATCGTGTTCAGCAAGGACCAGTTCCCCGAGGTCTACGTACCCACTGTGTTCGAGAACTACATTGCCGACATAGAGGTAGACGGGAAGCAGGTAAAAACCGTCACGGGTGCTGGAGCTGTTCCTGTCCCCTCGCTCCCGTGGTCCCGCGCTGGCAATGCCACCGCCCGGGTGGTGGGTCTGTGTGGCTCAGACGCACCCGTAGCGCTCGGGGGAGCCCCAGAGCTCCCACATTTCTGGGTCGCCCTGAACCTGCCCCAGTTTGAGGAAGACTGTGGTTATAAGTGAGGAAGATAAACCTGCTCAATCCTGGCCTGCGGCGCCGTCTGCGAGCTGCTGAGCCGCGTCCCTCTCCCCTCCCAGGTGGAGCTGGCCCTGTGGGACACGGCGGGACAGGAGGACTACGACAGGCTGCGGCCGCTCTCGTACCCGGACACAGATGTTATCCTCATGTGCTTTTCTATCGACAGCCCGGATAGCCTCGGTAGGGACCAGGGAGTGAGGGGGGACCTGGGGCTCCCGTGGGACCGGGTGCTGCTGCTAAACCCCCCGGGTTCGGGGAGGCCCGTGCTGGCCCTCTGGGGGTGCCAGTCCCTCCCCTCCATCTCCAGGAAAATGCTGGGAACTTGCTGGTGTGGTGGAGGTGGCGGGAGAGGAGGATGCCGTGGGATGAGCTCTCCCCGCTTCCTACGGGAAAAGCCTGGTGCCGGTTGTGGTGCCTGGTCCCACGGCTGTGCGGAGGCCGGGGCGGGGGGTGGGGGGCAGCCCCACGGCTCAGGGGGGTCCACGTGTGCTCCTTGCAGAGAACATCCCCGAGAAGTGGACGCCGGAGGTGAAGCACTTCTGCCCCAACGTGCCCATCATCCTGGTGGGGAACAAGAAGGACCTGCGGAACGACGAGCACACGCGGCGGGAGCTGGCGAAGATGAAGCAGGTGGGGACGGCCCTGGGTGCCGCTGCCTCGGCCAGCGGTCCGCCTCGCTGGGGCTCCCTTTGCCGGGCCGCGTCCTGGCGCTGAGGGCTGGACGCCCCAAGGGCGGTCACTGTGATTTTGCTGCTGTTTTCCGGCGGTGTTTCTGAACCCTATTTTAATGCTTTGTAGGAGCCGGTGAAGCCAGAGGAGGGGAGGGACATGGCCAACAGGATCAATGCCTTCGGCTACCTCGAGTGCTCGGCCAAGACGAAGGAGGGCGTGCGGGAGGTCTTTGAGATGGCCACGCGCGCAGGCCTGCAGGTCCGGAAGAACAAGAAGCGCAGAGGCTGCCCGCTGCTGTGAGCGGCCCGGCGGGTCCGGCCTGCGCCGCCTGGGGAGGGAGCGCGGCAGACAGCCGAAGCGGGACCCCGTGGTGCCAGTACCTGCCCCGAACCCTCCGCTCGAGAGCTGCCACCCAGCCCCGTGGGGTGTCCCTGCGCGGCCCCGGGGCCGCGAGGGGCCAGTGCCTTCAGTCCCTGCTGCTCTCTATGGGCCGGGCATTGGTGTAGTGCGCTCTGTTGCCCCATTTTGTACCAGTCTCCCCGGTTTGCCTCTCCCATGGGGATTGTCGCAGTGTTTGCTCTCCCTCCCCAGCTCCGGGCAGGTGCCACAGAAGTGGGGGGTGCCCGGAGCTCGCGTGTGGGATCTGCTGGGCCCTCGGGGCGCTCTGCCCGCTCCCCTCGGCTGTGTGGGCAGCACAGACCAGTGTTTTATACAGACTTGCCCGGGGCAGCTTTCAGCCCCGTCTGTGGGCAGAGCCGGGTTTGGCCGCTGCCAGAAGCGCTCTGCTCCCGGGAGCGGCGCTGGGGCAGCGTCTCTGCCCAGCTCTGCCGGTAACGCCGCCTTCGAGTCTGCATTGGTCACGGACTTAGCACCAGTAGATTGAACTGCGTAATTGGGAGAATAAATGCAAACTGGTATTTTAGTAGCGGTAACTCTGCTTGCGTGGCATCCTTGTGGCTGTCCCTTGTGCCCCTGGGCTGGTCCGGGCTGCTGGTCCACACGCTGCAGGGTGGGGGGCTTGCTGGGCCCCCAGCCCCTCGTTTCAGCCGCTGGTGCAGGATCAGCGCTCGTCACCGTGTGCTTGGGTAAGACCCAGGGAGCAGCTTACGTGGGACGGGACGGGCGGGAGTTCCGCAGCTGTACCCAGTCCCGGTGTGACGGGCACTGCGCTCGCTGCTGGAGCCGTCCCTCCTCCGTAACCATCCTGGCGCGGGTCGGGGCAGGGCTGCAGCCAGCCTGTCCTGTCCCTGCTCCGGCAGCCCCAGCAGAGGTGGCAGGGCCCAGGACTCGACATCGATACACCAGTTTTCTCTAAACATTTATTCCAGGGAAACAAAAAGTGAAGTGTGTGTGCCAGCGCGGCTGTGCCAGCTCTCGGGCCAGGCAGCTGCCTGGCGGTGAAACCGGGCATCCTGCGCTGGCCGGGTCCCTGCCTGCACCCCAGTCGCCCACCGCAGCAGCGCCGAGCTCCCCTGCGCGCACAGTGGTGCTCTTCGGAGGCCGGACTCTCGCTTAGGCCATTCACTGAACGGTGAGACCAGTCACAGGGAATTGGCTTTCCACAGCCGTGCCAAAAACTGCTTAAAATGGAGAGTGGTCCCAGTCCAGCACCGGCACGGTCCCGCTCTGTGAGGAGCGGTGTCTGCCCTGGGCAGGACCACCCCCTTGCCCGGTGGGCTCAGCCCCGTCTCCGCAGGGACGCGCGGCACACTGAGCACCGCGGGACCCAGCCGGGGGGAGCGAGCGGCCAGGGGCAGGCTGAGGGGTGCTGGAACTCCGTGGGGATTCTCCTCCTTTCCCTGGCGGGTTTCCTGCAGAGAAACCCCGTGGCAGAAGTGGCCCCTGACTCGGGAGGGGACCGGCAGCCCCTCAGCGAGAGCCCGTCCCGAGCCCTGTCACACGCCGCAGGAGAAGGCTCCCAG